CAGAGATCGGTCCGTTTCTCTCTTTCTCCGGCGCGGCGATCCTCTTCGTCCCTCCGCCGCCACCGCCACCGCCACCGCCGCCTGGCCGTTCCGTCTCCCTGTCCTTCCCTCCGTCGGCTTCTCGTGACCCGACGACGTCCTCCCTCCACCGTGGTCCTAGGGTGGAGATCCTCTCTCCCTGGCCTCCATCCGTCCCTCCGCCCTCTTCGCCCCGTCTCGCCCTCCTTCCGTCTCGTCGATGCTTCTCGTCTCTCATCCGACAGGGAGGATGGAGCTGGGAGGAAAGGAGGGCCGTCTCGGTAACCTCTCTCTGCATAAGAGAGGATCCGTGAGTCTGCCGCCGAGATCCGGGGCTGGTGTGAGGTGGCCGCCTCTCTATCCTCTCATTAATATCCAGAGACACGACCTCGCTGGGCTTGAGCCGGTCTCCGCGGCGCGGACTCCTCATTGGCTGACGCGCGCGGCTCGCGACATTTCGACGGACCTCTTCGTGGCTGGAACCGTTCCTGGGGGAGGGAACGGATCCTGGTCCTGCCGGTCGCCGGAGGAATCTCGGTTGAGTTTTGGTTGGTCGGACGTTGTTGACGGGCCGTGATCATCGGTTAGGGGTTGGATCTCAATGGGAGATTGAGATAGATGAATTATTCGGTATGTTGCTCGTCGACGACGCGGACTCGTGAGTTAATTCTTCCTTCGGCTTTGTTCGAAGATGGTACGATTTTATTTTTGATTTCTTATGGGAGATTTTTATTTACCCTTTTAGCTCTGTTACGAACCGTGCGAATCGAGGATCGCGATGCCGGAGAGTTCCTCGGCAAATAGACCGAGAGCAGGGAAGAAGATGAAGACAATCGGGGGTCAGGGGGAAAAAACGGAGAGACGGAACGAAATCCGCTGACGAATCCCGCGGCAACGAGTGCCGACTGTTTTCAGAGCTTCCAATCTCCGGCAACGGAGAGAAGAAAAAGAAGACAACGTCCAGTAGGAAGTTTTACAGTCGGTAGTTGGGGCCGTAGCTTCAGGGTGTACGTTCGGAGCGGACGGCATATGGCCGGAATAAGGAAAGGCCGCTCGGCCAGATTACGGCAATTATCGAATCACGTTACGGGATCTGGCGCCACGCGGCTCCAAAACGCAGAAATTAAGTTTCAACCCCCGAGGTGGCGACTCGACCTCGCTGGAAACGATATTCGTTTCGCGAAACGTTTCGAAGACCTATCGCGTGTGAGCCTTCTGGATCATTATATCTACTTTATATTACTTTTTGCGCTGTTAGGACACAGCTGGGAAACTGTTGAAGTATACGTTATTTAATCGATCGATCTTTCAATTATAAAAGATCAACGGAGAGGAATTAAATTATGTTCATCGCGTTGTGGAGAATAATTAGAAAGTGGTAAAAGGTAAAGCAATATCTTATGGAAATGGTACTGTAATTGGAATATTTGAAATGGAAAACTATTTAGGGTGAATTTTCAATAATTTTAGGTACCGTTGCTACAGAAATGGAGGAAGATATACGCAATCAAGGGATCGTTCCAATAAGACACGCTTTCAGCTGACCGCTGATAATCGGATGCTGAGCAAAAGTTTCTCTATAGCCATTTTATTCAACTGCAGCGCACGGTTCGCCGGAATGCAATTCCGTGTTCTGCGAAACCAACGCTGTGCATTAGCCAAAGCTCGAATGTTACGGCCTCGACGAAACTTTTTGCCGGCGGAATCCTCCGGATAATTCACATTACCGAAACAGATTATTCCTTTTACGGTCGACGGTAACTCGGAAAAATTCGAGAGAAAAAATATGCTTTCTGAACCCGGCTGAATTTCCGGTTAGCCTTTGAACTGGGGTGGAATTAGCCTCTAACTAATTATAAATAAATCCTCTTTGTAACGAACAAATTATGGAGGGCCGTAGGAAAAGCGTGCTTAATTAAATAAGAAAAACAGCGGGATAAAAGATGTGACACAATTGCTCGGTATAGATATCGTGAGATTTATTTTCCAATTTGTATTATAAAAGTGTAACTGTTTGCAGATGATAACGTCTCGTAAATTTCACTCACTTGTATCATTACCTCGCGAGATTCTCTTTCCAATTGAATGTACGAAAACACATATATCACATATATTATATAGTGATGTACGACCTTTAATTCTCTTGATATTTCTAATTACACGGTCGTTTAACTGACATTTATACAGTTTTCGCGAAATTTAATCCCTTTACCAATTGTTTCTTCTTTAAGCTTTTGAAGTTAAAATTTTCTTTAATAATGGACTGTGTCGCACCGTGTTGAGAGGTACAAAATAGTGATGAGTTCAAATATAATTCGTATGAAAAGAAATTTCCGCACTTTTAACCCATTTGTTTCCGTTCTCTTATCGTTAACACTTTTCAGCACCAACATTTTTTAATTTTAATATCGGTTTACAATCGGTGTGTAGTACAGAATCATTTAAAGGACGATACCAAAGTTTCTAATTATATACGGATACATAGTTTCAATAACTCCATTAAAAATCATCAGATTTTTAACGGTTGTTATAATCATTCGAGGAAATAGTTTAAAAACAGCTTAATCTAGATTGTCAGTTTATCGGCATGTAAACGCGAATCAATTTATTTACTGTTCTATTTGTGTTACTCAAAATAATTAAAAGAGTACATATTCAATATTAATAATGAGGAGGATAGTTAATTGACTGTTAGACAGTCAGTAAAATGCAGTAATATTAAATATATGTATTACTAAATATAGCATCCTCATTATGATTCGCGTCGTACTTAATATTATCTCGAGTAATATAAAAAAGATTGATGCGTAAGCAAAGTGGCACATAAAAGGAATGAAGCTGTAGAGAATCGCGTTTAACGATCGTTAAATTCTACTAAATATCAAATGTATCAAATTCTGTAATATAGACTCTAAAAATAGAGTACATATCGCTCTTATCAAACATATTATTTTATTCGATACGATACGATAATATTAATACTCCTTAATTTTAACACTTACCAAAAACTTTTATAAAAACTGTTAAGGCTGCATTAAGACCAAGATGTACACCTTGTGCACACCTGTACTCTTAATTGGAAATACTAGGAATAAGTATCTTTTCTAATAGTAACAATAATAATAACAGTTGTATCGTGTATATCTAAACTACAATTGAATTATACAAAAATAGAACAACTAGAACTTTGTACACATTCATACCCACTTTTAAATAATAGTTGCATGAAGTCCACCCATCATTGTATTTCATCCATATACTTTCTCATTCTCTCTTATTACTATCCATGTATCACAATCTTTTTTCTTCGTTTTTTTTCCTACAAAATTTTTTTTTCATTTTCTCTCCGCCCTCCACACTTTGTATAGCTTAATTCTTCATTATACAATCATCCACGCCTACATCCATCGGAGTACCTACAATTTTCTCCCCATACTTCTTCGATACTTTATTTTTCATTTTGTTATCACTATTTTTTTGTTTTACCTGCGTCGGTGTTCCTTTGCTTTCGTTTTCACATTCCATCGGCGTAACCACTTCAATTTCCACTGCTTCGGTTTTCTCTTCCGTTACCGTCCAATTCTTTTGTTGATCGTTCTCAATGTCATCAATGATAACAATATCATCATTACGGTCATCATCTATATTTTCTTTAACATTTTTATCCACCTCATTTTCGCGTTTAACAAACTTCTTTAACAAATTCTCTTTCGACGCTTTAGAAAACTGTTCCCCTCTGCCGACCGAAATCAGAGTCGCCCTTTTCGGAGTCTTGGTAATCTTTTTTTGAGGTGTTATTGAGTTAGCCGCGACAGTCAACTGTTTCTTCATTTCCGCTTGAGAGATCTTCTTAGTGAATTGAGTAATCAATGGCACGTTCTTCTTCTCTTTATCCTTCTCTTCCTCCACTTTCTCATCTTCCGCCTTCTCGCGTCTTCTTCTCGGAGTCAGGTTGTAAGACCACTGATTGGGCAATGTAAGATCTTTATCCAGGTACTTCTTCCGTATATCCTCAGGAACGTACCAACACGATTTCAAGTGCATGGGTCCTTCTTCAGGGCACAGCATCCTCTTGCCCAGTTCGCAGATCTTTTGAAGAAGGCAACCTTTCGAGATCTGATTCTCGCCAACCTTGTGTTTCTTGTTCCAGTACGTCATGAACTCCCTCATTAGGAACCTCCTGCCGTGTGTGTTGCCATGTATAAGGCGAATCAGCTCGGGCAGCGCCTGTTCCGGAAGTAGAGATTTCTTCGAAGATCTCGGGACGGATTGATGCGTGGGTGTACTGCACTCGGCTGCGGCATCATTGTCGGACGAGGTTGGTAGAAGCACTGGTATCTGACGCACCCAGGCCTCGCGGGCTGACAAGAAACCTATGGTCCTTGGAGGCACTGAAATCACAAACGTTCATCCCTCTTGATTACACTAGACTCATACGATCCCCGCAAACAGCTTAACACTTTGTTTCTAATACATCCCTAATAATCAACGTCGAAGCTGAACACTCACCATTTTCGGAAAATGTATTTTCAGGTCCCCTCCACACGCAGCCAATTATTTTCGGCTTCAGTTTCGACGTCTTCGTGTTCCTCTCCGACTCGAACTGTTCTCCTAATACTTTCAATTTGAACTTCTGTGTTTCCGGCGTCTGCAAAATAAAAAATAAACACAGAGATCAATAAAATATCAATGGAGAAATAATATTATACGGAAATACTTTCTACACTCACCCTGTCTTCCTTATCTTCCTCATCGGCGCGAAGTTCCTCGTCAGACAAGTATCTGCAACGCGTCACAGTTTCATTAAATACTAATCAGAATTTCAATATAACTTGGTATCGCGGTACAATATGATTCACGCTTACCCATGAGGAACCATGAACTCGTTATCCACGTCGTACTCATTGTCGTCCGGATTTTCCTCGTCCTTCTCGTCGTCGGAACCATGCAAAGATTCACCTGGCTCCTCTTCCTCCCACTCGTCGTCCGAATCTACCTCGTAATTGAAGCATTTCTGTAAAAAGACGGAACATTCTTTTCGAGCGCAATCATGGGAGACCGCGATACATCTAATCGCAATAATCTAGTTCCGAGAATCCGACAGCTGTTGATGTTCCAACAATCTCGCACGTTTCCAACGTTCCTCTCTTTAAAAAGTCATTCGGCTCGTGCAAGTTCAGCGAGACGGTCTGCGTACACCCACGCAACAGCCGAGTTCGAATTGATTGAGGCTACCACGTGCTTGATTAACTCCATTATCTCTCCCCCTCTCTTTCTTCGTTCGAAAAGGAAAAACGTTCTTACGGGCCACTCTCGAAACGGAGAGGAAATCGGAGGATCTTCGTCGCCCGAGGCTTCGGCAGTGAAATTTTTCTACTCGAAACGACGCTGGTACGCTCGAAGCCGATCGCAGAAACCGTCCGGCGTCCAGTCGGAATAGCGGCGAGTTTTTACCAGCGAGAAACGCAATTCGCGCGAAGAGACGTCTCGCCGCTCGGCCGCGTTATCATCCGTTTTCCATACAGTTTATTTTAGTTACGATCACGGCCACTGGATTTCACTGGAGTCTACCATGATTAAGCAGGACGTCGGTATCAACGCGACTTCCTTGACGGGCGATAATTGTGGTCTCTTCTGTTGGCCACGGAGCAACATAGCTCCCGGGGATACGCGCCGGTTCTGTCTCCTCTCTCAAAATGTAGACTCGCTTTCCGCGAGGCGAGCAAAGATCGAGCCGAGGCGCGTCCGCGAACGGTCCGATCGACGAAAAATCCCGGGCACGGTTCGGTGAGATGGTACTTGGCTGTGAAGTGCGTGAAATCTCGGTGAATTTCTGTGGTCGAGGCTGTGGCGACTGAAACCGAGAGACCGGACGGACGTCGGCGTGGAAAATCGACGCGAAGATATCGTCCGGTGATCCTTGTCTTCGGTGGACTCGATTAAAATCGCACGGGCAATCGCGAGGATCGATGTAGCTGTTAGGATCCACTGTTCGTTTAACGGGCAAACAGAAAAATCGACGAGCAGACGATCCGGCGAGGTCGCGCTGCTCGATAAATGCAACTTGGTAGCTTATATTAGTAGCTATTTTTACTGGTCTATTTAAAGCGATTATCGCGGTTGAATTCGAAATTATGAGGAGATAAGTGGCGAAACGAGGAACCGCGGCGAGCGACGATTCCGGCGGAGCGACTAGTTTTCCAGCGAGGAAATTGGTGCGGCGATCACGGCCAGGCCGCGGCTGAGACGCGCATCGGCCCGAAAAGTCAATAAATCGTCGGGGTTTTCTCTTTTGTGGCGGGCGGCGGAGCGATTCTTCGCGCGATAAATCAACGTCGATTTCATCCCCGCGCGGGCATCAATTACAAGACGGTTCGCGAAGACATTAATTTATTATCGGCAGAGGAACGTGATATCGCGAATGATCGGCGAGCCGGCGTCGCTCGGGACGTAACGCGGAAAACCGGACGGCGTTTCAGGTGAAAAGGGGAGGCCCCGCGATCGGGTACCAGTTGAGCAGCTTTCGGCAGCGACGAAGAGGTACGTATTAAAAAGGGCACGGGATCTTGGTGTGAGTTCGTTAATTGACTTACCTCGGCGAAAGTAGATTTTAGAAATTGCATCCACGTAAATCTGGAACGATTTCGATGCGAGAATGAAGTATAAAGTCTACTTTACAATATTACAAATATCGAGACACATTCTGAGATGAAACGCATTCGATGAATGCGGAGAAAGCTGTAAAGAAGAGCTACAAATTCATCTGTTATCTCCGGAGCACCGTCAACGTCACGAATCGGCGATGACACGGATCACGGTCCTTTCCTCGAGCACACCGCAAGCGTCATTTCGCCGGTCCGCGTTGCAACGACCGCGGCTGAGTACATTTTAAGTGGCGATAAAGTTTATCTCGAAAAATTACGCCCGGCTACCACCGCGCCGCTCCTCCTCGCGGTTTCGCGAGATCACTCGGCACCGCGCTTTCGAAAAAAAGGAGGATGGAACGCTCGGAACGGACGCACCCCCTCTGTCGTTGTTTTCGAGCGGAGATACGCGCCGGACAATACTCAAAATATCGAATAAGAAATTTCCGAACGAACGGTTCGCCGGATCGGCGAGAAAAAGAGCAAAGTTTCGTCTTCTTGCGACAGAGTGACGGTGCAAAAAGCGCGCACATACGGACGGGGTGATTAAAAATCGAATTGCAATTGCACCACGCGCGTTATAAACGATCGGACGGAGCCGGCGAGCTAAAAATCGACGCGGTGAAAAGATAAATCAAAGCGAGAGCGATTAACAACCGCTTAACAGAGACTCGAGCCAGACCACCGATCGCAGAGACGCGGATATCCCATTAATCACGGGGGACGCGACACGATCTAACGATTCTCGCCGCCGCCGCCGCGTGGAAACGCGTGCAACGTCTGGAAAGATGCACCGGCCCAGGGGAAACCCAGTTATCGGTGGTAACGCGACGCGTAACCACGTCGAAAACGGTGCCTGGCGAAGCGCCGTACATTATTTACAACGTGTTGTCACCCGCCGGGCCATCTGTAATGGCTGTTTTATGCCCCATTAAGATTATGCGCGGTGCTCCTCCTCGTGCACACCGGAGAACCACGAATCCCTGCACTCCACGATTGATTTATCCCCGAATCGGACACACACTTTACGGCTGGCCTACGCTTCCGCCACCATGCCCGTACACCTAGGAATGCTTATCAAGTGTCTAGCCGCATTATAGTCTCTTTATAAAAAAAAGTCTGATCGACACCGTCGGTCGTTCATCCTGATTTTCGTAAACATTCGAACATAATCGCGCATATATCTTCGTACACCTCTTTATCTACTGTCACGTGCTTCTTCTGCCGATACTTTACGTGTACCGTGCGTTATTCATACGTGTATCGTTTTATATCACGCTTTCATGGACGGTTATCTCACGCCTTCGAGCGATTTATGCTGTAAGGTATTATATCTATCTTATTTTGCAATAAAGAAATTCCCTCCGGTGAAATTCGGATAATCGCGTCGTCCGCGACGCCGATCATCATCGGCGGCTGTCGAAGCGTGAAAATCGCGTTTCGGTTCTGTTCGTACAGCTTCCGAAGATCGATCGCTGAACCGTTGTTCGGATAGAGAAACGCTAGTTAATTAATGATAGTCGGTATCGGTTTATAACACGATCACGAGCAAATTGAATCGGGAGAGCGCGCTTTATCGAGGCGAGCGTGTGACGCAACGGAGCCGCAATTAATAAATCTCATCGAAGGGTAGATAGAGCAATCTTCGCGAGCGAAGTCAAGTGAATTTTTTAAATTTCGATTAAGCGGCCGGCGAACAGAATAACCGGCGAGGCATCTTCAAACGCGTCATTAGATAAACGCCGGCGATATCGGCGCGCGCGACCGCGCGACCGCGTGAATTTCGCGGAAAACGATTCCCCATGGCCGTCCGACGTTGTTCGGACAAGAATTCATAATTGACGCGTTTTATCGGGAAGATCGCGCCATCTGGAACTGCATAATCGCCGGTTTAAATATAGACGCAACCTTGCGTCAATAAAACCTTTTCATCCGCGATTCTATTCGCGATTGAAATTATGTTCCGGGACCTGTACGAGTTTACAGAAACGAGAGAGAGAGAGTGTGTGCTTGGCCAATTATAAACAGGGTATTTCGGCCAGGGATGCCCGTCTCATTTTTGACGCACGCGGCTGAAAAGTATACCTCGCGCACACGCGCGTCAATCGCGGTGATAAAAGAAAACGATAGATCGATGCCGACGGACAGTGGTCTGTTTTTCGTAATACGACGATATCCATTAGCGTGGACATATCTCATCTACTTGTTCACTTTCACTGTGAGCGAGCTTAAAGCTGATTATGCTCGGGAATATCGCGGCGAGCGGTGAAACTTCATCCCCGGTGAACTACCCTCGGTTCGGGAGCAATCCGTGCTTCTAATTAGACGCGGGAGGATCGATTGTGTCGAAGACACCCGATTCAATCAGCAAATATTGGTTGTAATCGCGAAGAAATTATGAAATAGGGGGTTGAATCGTTTGAAAGGGTGGAAAGTGTGATTTAATGCTGGAACTATCGAACGGATGCGAACGGCTGGTTTGTTATTCGTCGCTTAAAAGCTACAGATATCGCGGATGAATTTCTTAGGGAGATTGCGAACTAGTAAGTTCAGTTGCTCGGCGGCTACAGCGTCGAGCAGGATGAGCGAAGATCAAGCTATAGAGAACGAGGTCGGTACGCCGCGGTGCAATTCTCGGGTGTTCTTGACTCTTGAATCGAACGGAAAATATGTATACATATTGTATCTAAGGTCAGCTTCCCTCGACACGGATAAACGTACTACGAGCGATTCAGCTGGCTAGTGGCACTGACTTCGAGGCAGTTATCTGCTGCTTCTTGTCGCTGTAGGTCAAAGCCACTGCATTATACAGACGTTTTCATTGATACATTCTTAGGAAATATACGCTCCGCGGAACATTTCCATTCCTGGCGCATCGCGGAGGGTGACACCGAAAGGTGAAGCCCCGCCATCGAACATGGGATCAAGTTTGAACCGGAGCTAAACCCGAGAGCTGCCCGAAAGCGTAGGACGTACACCGTTGTCCTTTCGAAAACGTTTCCGTGGCAGTGCATCAAGAGATGGAATGACACACTGGTATCAGTGTCAGTATTAATACCAGTATCGGTGTGTAACTCGATCCCTTGATAAGCCGCAATGCCAGCGAAACGCCGGGAGAATTTTTCCAAACGAACAGAGATTATACCCTAGAGCTTAAATAGTAACGACAAGTTTGAAACATTGCTAAAGTCTGCGTCGATAAAGAGCCCGATGAATTACAACGGATCTGAAACAAGCGCGTCGAACGGCACCTTCGCGAAGAGTCGAGCAAGGATCTAGAATGGGTCTAAAATAAAC